TTTTTTTTTTTTCCCTGAGAATCTGCCTTTCTAACTAGTTTTCAGGAGGTGTCGATGCTGTTGATTTGAGGGCCACGCTGAGAAACACTTCATGTGAAGGCTATGAACTCCCTATTGTTTTCCTTCATTCCAGCCCATGCAAATAGTGAAGGACAACTTTATGCATGTTGCATATCAGCATTATTTATGTCCCTCCTGAATAATGTCATTGAATAATAACACAATAGCTGCATATAAAGGAAAATGTGCCAACTTATTACCCCTTAATTCTACTTACTCTACCAGAGATTCGGGAGACAACAGGAACTAACATATTAGAATTATAAATATTTTCCCCTTGGGTCTTAAAGCCATAGACATACATACAATGTCAATATTTAGCCCCAAGGATTCTAAAGAAAGTAGCAAAACATGAGAATTCATACTATTATTTCCTACTTAAGCTTCTCAAATGTATGTATGTGTGTATGTAGGAATATATGTAGGAATGTGTGTAAGAATTTTGTGTTATTCCTGACATTTTATACCAGGCAATTTAATATTTTCCTCACATTCTCCAGAAATTATGGCCAATTCTAGTATTTGATGGCTTCATTGATCATAGTATTTATGAAATTCCATACAAAATGAACAGAGGCTATCAACAAGTATAATGAGAACTGAATATAACTAAATAAGTGTCAGGGTTGAAACTCAGAATGTTTTTCTTTTAATTTTTCTCACCATCTCTTATCACAAGGCTATCATAGCCACAGGCTGAGTGAGATTCAACATCCATGTAGAGGATGTTGAGTTCCACAGTAGAATCAGGAGCCTGGATGAGCCAGGTACACTCGGCCCCATTACTGTAGCTTCTAGGCCAGCCTGGGGAGAAAAGAAAGAGTGGCGCTTCTCCAGTCCTCAGGAACCCTCCACAAGCACCTGCAGAATAAAAAGCAACACCTTTGAATACCTCTAAAAAGGGAAAGATAGCAACGCTTTTCCACTTTAAATTGATCGCTCTATACTGAAATCAATTGGAACAAGTTTCTCAAAGAAATCAATAAATATTGTATTAAACTCACTGATTCAGATGGCCATGATTTCTGTATTTCACCTTTTTAATGTATGAAAATTGTAACATGCTATGCTTGTTTGCCATAATTTTTCCATACTCTTCTTTTATTATTGAGTGTTGATTATTAGGTAAGCATAAGTAAGTATATGATAACCCAAAATTCTTTGGACCAGAAATCTTTCAGATTTTAAAGTTTTTTTAAATTTTAATTTGGAATATTTGCATAGATTTTACTATCTAAACATCCCTAATATGAAAACACAAAATTTGAGATCAGGCACAGTGGCGCATGCCTGTAATCTCAGCAGCTAGAGAGGCTGAAGCAGGAGGACTGCAAGTTCAAAGCCAGTCTCAGCAACTTAATGAGGACCTAAGCAAATTAGCAAGACCCTGTCTCAAAATAAAAAGAACTGGGGATGTGGCTCAGGGTTTATATGCTCTGGGTTCAGTCTCTGGTACCAAAGGGGAGGGGAGAAAAAGAAAGAAGATACAAAATTCGAATGCTACAAAACCTGAAATGTTCTGGGTGCTCAGAAAGTTTAAGATTTTAGAACATTTTAGATTATAAATGCTTAACTTGTATACCCCAACTCCTGACCTTTTCATCCTTTATGAAATTTATTGCCATCAAATTAAAATTATAAATATTATAAGCCCATTAATGTAGTTTTATAATGATTATTTTATGAGGTTATTTTAAAAATAAAATGATAGAAGACAATAATTACAAACAAAAATACATTGCCTTTTACATTTAATTATATAGTATATCTTTACCCTACTGTCTAGTAGGTTCTGAAGATTTACAAGGACCTTTAATTTCAGCCTGAAGACCCCCCTCTTATATTTCTCATAGGGCAGGACTGCTAACAATGAATTCTGTGGTTTCATTTAACTGGAAGTGTTTGGATTTGTGCTTAAAGAAAACATTTGCTTAATATAGAATACTTGACAGTCTTTTTATTTCAACACTTGGGATTTGCCTTCTGGTCTTCATGGATTTGATTAATCCTACTGAAAATTTTTTCCATGACAAGTCATAGTCTTTGAATCTTCAAGATAAGACCTTTATATTCATCTTTCACAGTTTGACTATGCTGTGTGTAGGCCTAGAACTTTTTGAGTTTATCATTCTTGAAGATTTTTAGGCTTCTTGGATGTATTGGTCAATATTTTTCATTGAATTTCAGATGAATTCAGACACTATTTCTTCAAATATTCTTTGTTTCTCTTTCATGCTATTCTCATCTTCTGGGACTCTTATTATACATGTGTTGTCACGCTTGATAGTATCTGAGGCTCTGTACAATTTTCTTTATTCCTTTTCTTCAGGCAGGATAATCACAATGAACTCCAAGTTTGTTGATTCTCTTTTCTGCTTGCTCAAATTTGGTATTGAGTCTTTCCAGTGCATTTTTATTTCAGTCATGCTTGCCAACTGCAAAATTTCTAGTTGATTCTCTAAAACTATGTTTTCCCTATCACTTTTTTATAATCTCCACTTGATGAGACATTTTTCTCTTACTTTCTTTTAATTCTTTAGACATCAACCCCTTTAGCTTTTTAAATATATTCATAATATCTAATTTTATATCTTTGTTATTTGAGGCCAACCTCTTGGGTTCCAACATAGTCTCTTTTGATTGTTCTTTTCCTTGGTGGGAGCTATACATTCTAGTTTCTTTGTGTCTCATTATTTTGTTGTTGTTTTTGAAAACTGGACATTTTTAAACAGGGAACTTTGGAAATTAATACCATCCAAGGTTTGATGTTATTATTAGTTTAATGACTATTTGCACTAGTTCTATAATGTTTGTACTCTTTGTTGTATATAGCCACCGAGTTTCTGTTCAAATTATTGGTCAACTAATCATTAGATGGAGAATTAAGTCTCCCATTCATTTCCAAGGAATTTTAGAATGATGTGTGCATTGGAATAAGGTTCCAGTAGACAGTTTACAACTCTGCCTGAGCTTTTACTTTTGACTTTCACAGACACTCAAGATCATACAGAGGTGAGAAATTAGGATCTTCTTGGGTCTTTTCTTGGGAATATAAATAGGCATGTACATGTGTGTGGTCTTCTAGACTCTCAGAAATATGTCAGAGTTTTTTAAATCCGTAGATAGACATCTCTCTCATTCTTCAGTTTTTCCATTTATGCTTTTTTGGTCAGTTTCCTGTTAGCTATTACTGGTATCACTGCCTCAAGTACTTGTGATGTTAGACAACTGCTGCTGATTGTTTTGACAAGTACCCTAAGGGTAAGGCTGTTTACACAGTGAGCTCTTTAGGCAGGTCAAATGAAGACAAGATGAGAGACAGCAATTTTCCAAGAAGCTGCTAGACAGGTCAAATAATGGAAATTCCTTGGAGATAGCCTGTTTTCTGGAGATCCCAAACTGTTCTGCCCTCTTATTATGCTGCTAAGCTGTGGTTTTCACATCTACCATCTTTGTGAGGCTGCTGTGAGGCTACTCCTCAGCTAGGAAGAGGAGGAAGGATGGAACTACAAAAGTTAAGATACCACAGAGATGACCATTCTTACTGAGATTCTGTTGTTTTCTTAAATAAAAACCCCCTCAGCTTGTTGTAAGGCTTTGGTTAATTTCTAGAGTCCCCCCAGATTTGATTTTGACCATTTTTTTTTTGCCCAGTATTTTTAGATTTCCAGAGGTATATAGTTTGATAATCCAGAAAATTTTGATTTTATACCATATGTTTGATTAGTACTGGGACTATCAGAAAGAGAATATAAAGTACACTAGGACTAAGTCCTAATTCTGCTATCTTGGTACTATCTAGGCTATGGAAGTTTTCAAAAAGAGTAATTTTGAAGTGGAAAATCCAAATGCTGAATGTTATCTGGTACCTTCAATTTTTTTCCTTCATATAAAATATTCCTTATCTTGAATTTATCAAAGATAGTTATCACAACAGCAGACTGTGAGTCATGAACTCATGCCTGCCAAATATTCTATTTCTCCCAACTTTCAAATATTTGTTAGAGTCCGGTTCCCTGATTCTCTTATGGTTGGGTGAGGACATTTGACCACTTTCAGCCAAAAAATTATGAGCAAAAATAAGTGCCACTTTCCCACTGAGCACTTTCAGAACTGAGACATTCCAGGCTCTTTCACTCCTGCCATGATCACAGGCAATGTCCCAGAGAGCAGCTGCAACAGCCAGAGTTAGGCAGTGACGATGATGACAGGCACCCACTCAATCTATGAAGGACTTGGACAGTGAACATGAAAGAGACCTCCCTGTTTTCAGTTACTAAGAGTTTGGAATTATGTGTTCTGTAACATGAATGAGCATTTCCTGACTGATACACTGACTAATGTTTTCCTACTTGATGCATTGTTGTTGTTTGTTTGTTCGTTTCTTGGGGTTGTTTTTTTTTTTTTTTTTTTTTTTTTTGCAGTGGTGGGATTGAACCCAGGTCCTCGTGCATGCTAGGCAAGCACTGTATCACTGAACTGTATCCCAATCCCTTTTAATTGTATTGTGAATCAGAATTTTGTGAAGTTACCCAGGCTGGCCTTGAACTTGTGACACTCCTGCCTCTGCCTCCCAAGTAGCTGGGTGTACAGGTATGCACCACTGCAGTCAGTCAAAATGTGAAATTTCTACCAATGATCTAGACCACCACGTCAAGCTCATTTTCATGGTTGCTTATTTACTGACTGAACCACTTGCTTTGTTACCTAATCATTTAACTACTCAACTGTTAACTATCACATAAGTACTTTGTTTTTCCCAATTACTTTTAAGCCCCTGGAGGTAGAAATTGTATATTGGTTTCCTTTCTTAGTGACCTCACTGTATCCATAATAAATCATCCGTAAGTATTTGTTGACTTAAATTCATTAGCCAAAATTGCATGAGTAAGAAATGCTGATGATACAATGCTCAATGTGTTAATACATATAAAAATTTAAGCTTTATTATTTTTAATAAAACTTTTAATATGTGGTTTTTTAATGAAATAAAATTTAGGGGGAAAAGTTATTGTCTATTTAGTTGATCCTAACAACTCTGTGTGTGTGTGTGTGTGTGTGTGTGTGTGTGTGTGCATGTGTGTGTGTATGGTATTATAAATCAAATTTTTAAAGAACTCTCAAATAGTTATTAGAAATTATAAGTAGTTTATCTTCATGAATATCTAGCACCTCTATATATGAAAATCATAACAAGAAACATTCATTTTCAAGAAACAATGAAAATTTTTTTTACAAAATGTAGTATTTATGAATTTTAAGACACCTGAAGGCATAAAGGAAGGACATCATTTGTGATTGGACCCTTTGAAATATTGGCCTGCACATATCAGTCCTGAATAGAATGCTATTCAATACCAAACAGACCTGCAGCAATGGTAGGCAAAGGTCCAGCAGGAACATCTACTGCAAACCACTCCAGGAGGAATCCCTTCCCTGAAACTGAAGAGTCTGAAGAAAACTGAAATGTCAAAGAATTTCTACTGGAGCTAAAAGTTTCAGGCTGGGTACCACAGTAAGTTCCAATTAGGATGGAATGAATATCGAACCCATCAAAAATCTGCATGTAAAAAAAAAAACAACAAATCAGAGATATTGTAATTAGACCATTACCTGCATTTCTCTCCATAAAAAAGAAAATTTTAAAGATGACTTGTATTTCTACTTGATTATAATAAAAAAATAATAAGCAAACATTTTATTTCAGTTTAAAACAGAAATGCCATTAATGTAAATTATTATTACAAATAATTTAAGGAAGTTATTTTAAAATATTTATAGCTTTGTTGCAGAATTATATTAATAAACATGCTCGGTGGGATATAGCTTATTAGGTGATTTATAGTAAAATTTGTATGTGGAAAAGCAGAAAGTAGCAATGTTACTCAACGATCATACTTAATGTGTTCTGGGGCCTCAAAGGGAGCAATTAGGAAAAAAAGAAGAAAAAGGAAAAATTTAATGAGAGAAAGTGAGGGAACATCCTAAGAGTCAAATCTCCACATAAGTAAAGAAGAATCGGTGACAAAAAAAAAAAGAACCACATCCTGCAGTGCTCAGCACAAAGTCATCAACTCTTTCATTTGGTTTAAAATATTAAAATATCTATTTAGAGACACATTTTGTCATGGTTGCCAAGTAATTGGCCACAATTTCATTTACAACAGTTATTATAAAATCCTCTCCTGAATCTCATTTTTTCAAATTATGTAATAATTATTTCCTTATATATTGAATATCCATCAGGTACAGGGTCCTACTCAAGGCAGAGAGCATCCAAGATGAATAAGAAAGGATCCTGACCTGGAGGGATCTGATAGTGTTTCTGTTATTCCTATAGTAGCCAAGGTCTGAATGGCAATTATCAGCCAATTACTGGATTTATTTATTTATCCGTGATCCTTTACATTTTCAGCACTCCAACATGAGAACAAACAGGATAATGGGATATAAGACAGAAAAAAACAATCTTTACATACATGCATGCTTAGACAAAACCCAATTAGTGAATAACAATAATACTTGAACCAAAAAAAAAAATCTTTAGATACAGAATAGAAAATAATAAACATAAAACTGGAATCACCTTTGTTCAGGTAATATAGAGGTACTAATCATAATTTAGGGCCGAACGATAGCAACCAATCAAAATCATAAACATTGTACACAGAAACTCACCCTTAGTTTGTCATAATAGCAGTTGTGAGTTGCTTCAATGTCCATCTCCAAGATTCTCCCCTGGATAACTTGAGATGCATTCACACTTACTGTCCATTTGTAGTTGGAGTTGTGGGGGTAATTTGCTGGCCAGAAGGGAGAGGCGATTTTCCCATGAGTTCCCACAATATTATCATTGCCAAATACTAGGAGGGAAAACAGAGTAGTAAATCAGACCTACTTAGAATAGCTCTTTGATCAAATTAAAAAACAAAACAAAACACAAAGGATGTTAAAAAGGATAGACTTCTAATGGACTGTGATTTCCTTTCTGACTACTGAAAGAAATATAGCTTCCCTTTTGGATTCTGGACTCTCTATTAATTCCTTGGAAAAGAGTGATTTTGAGAACGGAATTCCATCTCCTTGAAAGGTTGCCTGGTCTGAAAAGAGGAGACAACTTCCCATGTGAAAAGGGGCTCCGTGACCTCAGAGGTGCTGGAAGGTGCTTTACCTATTTTGCTTTGTTTTAAAAAAGAAGGGAGTGCTTTTCTTTTTAAATTCTACAAGAGAAACTGAACAAACAGAATAGCCCATTATTAAAAAAATCTGAGTTAAAAAATAAAAGCAGTTAACATTTTGTTCTACTGGAAGAATATTCTATAGTTCAAATATATAGGCACTTATAATCAATACCAAGTAATATTAAATGTTTTTATAGGATCAAATGAAACACATTTAATAGATGACATATCCAACCTGAACTGTATTATAAGACTCTTTAAAACAATATCATAAAGATTTCAATTTAGCATTAGATAGAAACTAAAGCTTAAAAAGGTATTCGAACTATTGAGAATGTTCTCTCGTGCTCTCAATGAACCATTCATATGTGCTTTAGTTCTTCTAATATACCTTATAATAAAGGAATTCCATAGACCATATTGGAGAAGAGCTTAGAGTTCAGGATTCTTTAATGCATTACTGAAAAATTTGTTATCATATCTACTTTATAGGACATATTCTGGGAGCCATCACAAAAATAAAACAACTTACTCTTAGCAAATGTAGCTTGGAAGCCCATTCCACTGCCTGAGCCATCCGAGACAAATCTGATCCACAGAATATGCCCCAAAACAGATGAATAATTGAGTGGTAGGAAGTTTCCACAGTATCGTCCCACCAAGGGACCCGTGGCATTTCCTTCCCGTATCTCCACAAAATCTCTGCTACAGTTCTGAGAGTCTTCCAACTGGAAAGATCTGATTTGGAGAAAACAAAGTTAATAGGGATTAAACTGAGAGAATCATCTTTGAGGTTATCCTGAATCACATGCTGAGTTAACGTGTTCACTTTTTGAAAACTTTCTTTAATTTTGATCGCAAGGTCCTTTGGCTATATCAAAATATTTCTTTCACTCAAATTTGTTGAAATGCCTATATAAGAGACACAAAGACAATATACTATTCTCAAAGATTTTTCCTCCTAGTGGGAAAAAAACTGGGCAAGAATACAGAAATAATGATAACAATAACAGTAATAATAATGTCCCAAATATCGTTAGAACTATAAAGCAATAATATAAGAGCGGGCTGGAAATGTAGCTCAGTAGTAGAGCATATGTTTAGCCTGTAACAGGCCTTGAGTTCAATCTCCTGCACCAGATAAATAAATAAATAAACAAACAAACAAACCGACCAACTGGCAGAAGAGTTTTGAAGCAGAATTATCACATCTAATTGTTGGGTTCAGAAATAGATTGACAAAGAGATTTTTTGAGATAGAAATGTAAGCACTAGACTATTAAAAACAGAGTGCTGTCCAACAAAGGCCCTGTTCAGAAAAGGGTGGAGAATAGTGTAGAACCTGCTAGATATCCAGTTTGGTTAAAAAAAATTGAGCATCACCAAGGAACCACTAAGAGGTGTAGCTGAAGTGGCTTGATGGGATATTTTTGGTAGAGTTTAAGTTCCTTGCAAAGGCAACTTCTGGACTGGTAGGAAAATGACAGGATTTATAATAATACAGGCTGGTGTTCAAATGTGGCCCATTTAACTCGTCTTATATTCTTGCAACCGTGATGTGATGGGGGTTAGCAGATAGGAAATGACAGCCACGTCATATGATTGTTATAAGCAACACAGATAGAGAGTCTGGAAGACACAGGTGCTAGATGAATGCTTTTAAAATTTGATCTTAACATTTAAAAAGTTGAAGGAGATCAAGAAAACACAGTTTTGGGGTAAGAGTGGACAAACAGTAGAATGAAATAGGGAAAAAAATTGCAGAGAACTTATAGAGTCAATACAACATGATGCAAGGTACCAAGACAATTAAAAAAATGGTTTGTAATAATTGAATATCCTTATGAACAGAGAAAAATAAAATTAAAAAAACCTCAGCTCCTGCCTCTCTTCATATATGTAAAATAATTTAATATGTCTCAGAGATGTAAACATAAAAACCAGAACCATAAAACTCCTAGAAGAAGACAGAAGAATACCTTTGCAACTTTGATAGGCAAATATTTCTTAGAATGCAAAAAGCACTAATCATAAGATAAAGAATTGGTAAGCTTAATTTCACCAAACATGTTTCCTCATTAAAGACAATAAGAAAATCAATAGGTGCTATGCACAGTAACACACACCTACAGTCCCCAACTAGGGAGGCTAGGCAGGAAGATTGCAAATTTGAGGCCAGCCTCAGCAATTTAGTAACACCTCAACTACTTAATGAGAACCTTAAAAATAAAAAGGGCTGGGAATGTGGCTCAGTGGTAAGGCACCCCTTTCTTTCTTTCATTCAAGAAAGAAAGGGGTGGGGGAGGGAGGGAGGAAGGAAGAAAAAAGGAAGAGAGAAAGAAAGGGAGGGAAAAAAAGGAATAGATAACTTACAGACTGGGTGGGGTGAGGGAAGTTACTGGCAAAGCATGCATCTAACAAGGGACTCAGAACTAGAATATAAAAGGAAGTCCCCACACAATGAAAAAAAATGAATTTAAAATGGACAGACTTGAACAGACATTTCTAAGAGAAGGTAAATGACTGGCCTATGAGAACGAGAAAGTGCATGGTGTGGCTCCTCATCAGACTAGCCATTACTATGACAACCAGACATTATTTTACATCCATCAGAATGGCTAAAAAAGAGAAAAAAAAAAGGTTGATGAGATCCAATGTTGACAATCATGCAGAGAAACTGGAGATCTCATCTATTTATGGTGGGACTGTACACCCATAAACACTTCAAGAAATTATTGAGCAGCTGCTTGTAAAATTAAATATACATCTAATTAAATTCCACTCCTGGATATTCACCCAAGAAAAATAGAAACATAGGACAGATCTCAACTTTGTAAAAGCTATCTAAGTTAAGCCCTAGGCCAACGTTATTCTAAATGGAGAAAAATTGAAAGCATTCCTCTTAAAAACTGAAACAAGACTGAGATGTCTTCTTTCACCATTTGTATTCAACATAGTTCTGGAAATTCTAGCCAGAGCAATTAGACAGATGAAAGAAATTAAAGGGATATGAATAGGAAAAGAAGAACTTAAACTATCACTATTTGCTGACAACATGATTCTATACTTAGAGGATCTCAAAAAAACTCCACTGGAAAACTTCTAGAACTAATAAATGAATTCAGCAAAGTAGCAGGATATAAAATCAACCCACATAGATCAAATGCATTTCTGTATATCAGTGACAAATTTTCTGAAAGAGAAATTAGGAAAACTACCCCATTTACAATAGCCTCAAAGAAAAGAAAAAAAAAACTTAGGAATCAATCTAACAAAAGAGGTGAAAGACCTTTACAATGAAAACTACAGAACACTAAAGGAAGAAATTAAAGAAGACCTTAGAAGATGTGAATATCTCTCTTGTTTTTGTATAGACAGAATTAATATTGTAAAAATGACCATACTACCAAAAGCACTATACAGATTTAATGCAATTCAAATTAAAATCCCAACATCATTCCTTGTAGATATAGAAAGGGCAATTATGAAATTCCATTTGAAAAACTAGGAGAGCCAGAATAGCTAAAGCAATTCTTAGCAAGAAGAGTGAAGCAGGAGGAACCAATATTAGAACTTAAACTATACTGCAGAGCTACAGTAACAAAAACTGCATGGTATTGGCAATAAAGCAGACATGTAGATCAATGGTACAGAGTAGAGGACACCAAGACAAACCCACATAAATACAGTTCAGTTATCTCATACTAGACAAAGGGCATCTAGAAATGAAAAAAACATACATTGGAGAAAAGATAGCCTCTTCAACAAATAGTGCAGGGAAAACTGGAAATCCATATGCAGCAAAACGAAATTAAACCTCTATCTCTCACCCTGCCCAAAACCCAACTCACAGTGGATCAAGGACCTAGGAATTAGACCAGAGACTCTGCACCTAATAGAAGAAAAAGCAGGCCCAGATCTTTATCATGTCAGCTTAGGACCTGACTTCCTTAACAAGACTCCTAAAGCACAAGAAATAAAATCAAGAATCAATAAATAAATTCACTGAGGGGCTGGGGTTGTGGCTCAGCAGTAGAGTGCTTGCCTAGCACAGGCGAGGCCCTGGGTTCGATCCTTAGCACCACATAAAAATAAATAAATTAATTAAAGATATAATAAATAAATTGGATGGATTCAAACTGAAAAGTTTCTTCTCAGCAAAAGAAACAATCAATGAAGTGAAGAGAGAGCCTACAGAATGGGAGCAAATTTTTACCAAATGCACATCAGACAGAGCACTAATCTCCAGGATATATAAAGAATTCAAAAAACTTTACACCAAAAAAAATAATAATCAATAAATGGGCTAAGGAAATGAGCAGATCAAACAATTTTTTTAAAAAAAAAATGTTCAACATCTCTATCATTAGAGAAATGCAAATCAAAAGTACTCTCAGATTTCATCGCACTTTAGTCAGAATGGCGATTATCAAAAATTCAAGCAACACTAAGTGCTCGTAAGGATATGGGGGAAAAGGTACACTGATTCATTGCTGTTGGGATTGCAAAATGGTGCAGCCACTTTGGGAAGTAGTATGAAGATTCCTTAGAAAACTTGGAAAGGAGCCACCATTTGACCCAACTATAACTCCTTGGTCTATACCCAAAGGACTTAAAATCAGCATGCTACAGTGATGTAGCCACCTCAATGTTTATAGCAGCTCAAGTCACAGTAGCTAAACTGTGGAAATAGCCTAGATGCCCTTCAATAGATGAATGGACAAATAAACTGTGGTATATATACATAATGGAATATTATTCAGCCTTAAAGAAGTATGAAATTATGGCACTTACAGGTAAATGGGCAGAGTTGGAGAATATCATGCTAAGAGAAGTAAGCCAATCCCTCAAATCCAAAAGCCAAACGTTTTCTCTGATAAGTGCATGCTGATCCATAATGGGAGTGGGGTGGGGGAGAATGGAGGAACTTTGAATTGAGCAGAGGGAAGAGAAGGGAGGGGAGAGAGTGTGTGTATGGGGGAAGATGGTGGAATAAGACGAACATTATTACCCATATGTATGGGTATGATTGCACAAATGGTGTGACTCTATATCATGAACAATCCGATAAATGAAAAGTGCTTCATTTGTGTAAAAAATAAAATTAAATTAATTAAATAAAATCTCTCTCTCTCTCTCTCTCTCACACACACACACTCACACACATTTTGACTGCTATACTGCCCGATATTGTCATGGGGACATGGGGATTAGGGACAGAATAACAGAGTAAATTAGACATTGTGCCTCTTTTTTAGGGAGCTTATTCTAAGTAGGAGGAAAGATACATATACAATGAGGCGATAGTAAATTCTAGCAGGAAAAAGTCAAGTACACTAAGGGACTATTTTAGGAAGGACATCAGGTTACATCTGTCACTTAAAAATGGATGTGCTGTTTTCAATAGCAACTTAAAATAAGATGCCTAGGGATAAATGTAACAAAAGACCTATTAGACCTTTATGGGAAAAACATAAAATTTTATCAATGAACATAAAAAAGACCTAAATTAATGGAGAGAGAGCCCAAGTTCAAGAATGTGAAGTGTCACGATCATAAAGATGGTAAATCTTCCAAAATTAATTTATAAATTCAGTGCAATTCCAGTCCAATTGATAATTGTGGTTCCATGTATGTAGAATATAAAACAGAAAGCAGTGGGGTTGGATATACCCGTATATATTAAAGGGATGAAACATGTACAGAAATGATACACGTAACATCCACGATCTAGGTTACTGCTGTGACGGGAAGGTAAAGGAAGATGGAGGGGACTTTTGCTGTCTTGTAACATTTTTCTTACATAAAAGTAATTTTTAAAGAAAAAAGTAATTCAATTAGTAACAAAGGGAAAAAAAAAAGAGGAAACCAAGTACAAACTATTTTTTTTCCTTAATTTGTTGAAGGGAGATTGGCTAAGAGGAAGGACAAGACAAAGAAAGAATGGCTTAAATGGCTTAATTAAGATTACAGAGAAAAATCCATCAGGAGGGAAAAAAAATCTAAAATATCTCAAGAATAGAAAGTGTGCTGTATTTTTCAGTCAGTGCTGAAAATGGTGTGTGGTGAAACTCCATAGTGCCTGTGGTCAGCACAGGGCTCCCCTGGCGCTCCATCCCAGCTAATGGATTAAAATGCTTAGGGACAACCAGCTGAGAGGCTCCAGCCACCTGAGGCCCCTCCACGGGCTCTGTATCAGGTTCATGTTCCAGTGTTCATTGCTAAGCAGAGCATGGGAGCAAGCTGATCATTCCCCTTTGTTCTACCACCCCTGCTTCTCAAACCAGATACCAGCACTGGTAAATCTCTTAACCAGAAAAACAGAGTTGGTGGCTCTCATGATCCCAGTAAGTGGGTCATTACAATACAGATCATCTTGACTATATTCTAGATGCAGGCCTAGCAGCAAAGGAGGACTGATAATTGAGAAGCGAAGAAATTAGGACATATCCACATTGGGCAAAGCAAAGTATGTATTTATCTCACCTCCCTTTATTCCCTTGACAGTCTTGTGTTTTGCAATATGAAATGTATACCTACAATCACTTTTTTTTTTTTTTGCAAGAAAATGACCTAAATCCATCTTTTAGGGAGATTGCCAATTTCCTGTTTAAATCCATGCTCAAGTTTACTACCCATAATATTATCAAAATGCAAGATGTGATAAAATTGTTTTCTTCTGCTTCTCAGAAAGCAGAAATGGAAGAAAGGGAGGTTATTTTCCTCAGAAGGGGAATTGCATAAAATGACCTCTAAAATCTTTCTGCTCCGAATGCCATACATGACCCTGCAGCATCAGCATCACCAGAGAGTTTGTTTGAAATAAACAATCAGGTCCCACTAACTAACTGGATGGGATACTAATTTTAGTAGGAGTCCATGTGATCAATGGGAACTGTAGAGCTTTGCTTAACTGTCCAGATCACCACAACATGAAGGTCTTTTGTAGCACTGTACTATAATCTAGTGCTAAATAGCAAAAACAAAACAAAGCAAGACATTTCATGAATCATGGTAGAAATCATGGTAGGTCAATATCTATAAGAATCAAACTAGCCAGGCGCAGTGGAGCATGCCTATAATTCCGAGGGCTCAGAAGGCTGAGGCAGGAGGATCATGAGTTCAAAGCCAGCCTCAGCAAAAATGAAGTGCTAAGCAACTCAGTGCGATCCTGTCTCTAAATAAAATACAAAATATGGCTAGGGATGTGGCTCAGTGGTTGAGTGCCCCTGAGTTCAATCCCCAGTACCTAATGAAAAAAAAAACAAATTAACTTTTAAAAAAGCTTTATATTTACTGTAAATTTTTGCTTTAGGCCAGTACTTTCATAAACAAATCTATCCTTTGGCTAAGATCTGTTAGTTAAAAATACAATGTGGAACAAAAATAATACAATCACTGTTTCTCGTTATCTCATGCAGATTCTTGAACCAAGACCAATCATTTTCTAAAAGCACTCTGCAAGCAGAAAATACAATTTCTGCTAATTCCTTTAAATATCTGCTTTACAAAAAAAAAAAAAAAAAACTCTCCTTTTTAGGTTTTATTTCTCCCTTCTCTTTTTGTTGCAAATCCAACCATAATTTCTCCAGTTTTTCTCTCTATTCAATTTTACCACCACAGTATCCACAATCCAAACCCTGTGTTTGAGAACTTGATGTGATTCATATGTTTCTCATATGCTTCTCACAGGCTCCAAGCGGGGGGCAGGTTTCTAAGTATCCATCTGGATACAGTTTAGATCAGGACAGAAATAACTTAGAAGCCTTGCCATGAAACCATTCTTATTACCATCTACACGTAAAAAAGCATCTTGCCTTCCACAAAATTCATTTTAACAATAAAATTCAAGCTAGTAACACAAAGTAGTCAAAATTAACTTTTTATAGGCAAGAAAGTAAACAGCTGAGATGCTATGATTTTTCTGCACAGCAATTGAGACACAAGGTCCATTAAACAGTAAAATGGATGAAACTTGCGCTTGCATACGTAAGCTCCCATCCTCCATGGAGAGAGTCCACTGTTGGTTGTTGGTTTGGATTTATTTGTGAAGTAGCAGAGAAGATACTTTGGAAATGGCAGAGATTGAAAGAATTAATATTCACCCAACATTTGCTGAGCAACACACTTGTGCTATACGTTTCAAATTTGACATCTTTAATCCTAGCAGTGGTCTTAGAAGCTTGTTCTTATGACCACGCTACAGATGAAATTCATCTTTTGAGGTTTCAGTTTAAAAGCCTCTGATGTTCATTTATTAATAATTCATCAAGAACTGGGATCTTATCTCTCTTAAACATTACTAGTACATAGCCTAGTTTCTGACAACCACTGAACGTCAGGGTGGCCATCAGTGTGAATTTGGTGAAGACCCAGAGGAAAGTCATTTCATCTGCAAGTATGAGACCTACTAAGCCACAGGAAGGACCTTGGACTTCACTGTAAGGACATCATGTTTTGTTCATCGTTATCAATAAAGCATCTAGCATGGGAGTAGCAAGTGCCTACCATGTGCTTAGGGTCTTGATAAGCATTTGCTTAATAAAGGGATAAAGATGTCAGGTAAAAATTATACACATAGATTTGTCCCATACGGAATTTTGTGCCTTCAGTAAAGGCAAAGAGGAGTTAAAACCTCCTTCCCATGTGGCAGTCTAAATTTGTATTGCCTTTCAGGCATGCAGAGGGTGGCTTTGTCTTAACACAATGCCATATGCACCCTGAAGAGGCACTATGATGGATTAGAGAAAGCAACTTGAGATGTTTGAACTTGGTCCACAAATAAGTTGTTGTCTTATATTTTTAATCAGCTCTTGTTGCACAGATTCTACGAAGAGCCAGAGTTTTGAATAAATAGGAAAGTATACTCAAAACAATCCTCTCATCTCGATATTAAGAAACATATTGCCTTCAAAGCAGAATTAGCAATGCCAACCATAGCCTAATAATATGTACTACTACAGTGTGGTGCACAGCTTTTAATTCAAAGCGTCAATTTAAATACCAAAGTATCCTCACCCAGGTATTTGTTAAGCATCCGTTAGCAAAGTGGCACACCACAGTACCCCTCTATGGGTTGATCAAAAAATCCTGTTGCACACACCATGTGCTTTTTACATCCACTTCTGAGAGATACTATTATTCCTGTTTCATTTAAGTAAGATGACTAGGAATGTGACAAGATCTTACTGATCTACATCCATAGTCCATATTCCAAAAGTGCTAGAGTTCAATGAGAAGCACGAGAGTGATTTTGCAAATCAACTACTAAGTTCCAA